CTTGAAGGCAGCTAACAACTACAGGGCCTCTAGGAGTCCCTGGGTTTTGGAGGCTGCACACTATTCACAGGATAGACAAGAACCTCTATTAACTGACAGGCAGTGGGGGAGAAATCATCCAAGGTCACGTAACTCTGGCTGTGAAGCTGGGACTTAACTTGACTTCTAGATCTTCTACCGTGGACTTTTTCTCCCTCACCACTCCACTTGTCATACAGACCCATGTGTGCAGTCCACCTAGTGGCCCTCTGTCCCAGCACTTGACAACAGAGTGTACTGCAGAGACATGAAAACAAATAGCTGGGGGAGCAGGTGCAAAGGAAGTGATCGAGAGTGTAGGAACGATTCTTAGAGGTGGAGAGCTGATAGGGACACTGGAAGGAGGCATGGTACTGAGTTTGACTAGGTATCTGATCGTGATACCTGGCTAAGCATAAGGGCTCTAGTGTGGGTCCACCTGGACTTGAGGTCTTGCCCCACGCCTTACTTGCTGTGAAATCTTAGACAAGTTGGTACATCCCTCTGTGCTTTGGTTTCCTTACCCAGGAAATGTGGAGATAATTACTCTTGGAGTTATTGTGAGGATTTAAATGAGTGAGGCACAAAGCACTCAACACAGTGCTAGGCACATAGTGCTGGGTTAGTTATTTTCACTCTGCCAGATGCTTGTACATATGTAGTGAGGAAAAAGGAAAGCTATTTTAAAAGTTGACTACAGAATTCCTCTGCTGTCATTTGGTTGGTAGGGTGTTTTGTTATGAAAAGTCCCTGGCCTATTGGGATAAGGCCAAGGAACCAAATTCATTTCAGAAAATAAAATCCTTAACGTTTGAGTTTCTGCAGAGCTTATGAGAGGAGGTGGGAAGGAGGCTTGTCCGTGGGGAGAAGGAAGACAGAAAAGCTGGGAAGGTTAGTGCACATGGTGGATGGAGGAGTGGGGTCCCTGGAGAAATTCCATCTGTGAGTTATGCCTAGCTGGGACGTAACACTCTGCTGCCAGCTTCTGGACAGACCCTACACCTTTCTCTAAACAGCTACACATGAATGTTGGGTGCTATAACAACTCTAGGGAAATGGAGGCAAAAGTGGATCTAGTCCACACTTTGGACAAACAAGCCGCATAATACAAGTGTACAGGAGTCTCAAAATTTGCTAATCTTCTGCTTGAAGACAGGAACAAGAAGGAACAAGGAGAAGCACAAGGCTCGCTCTTCCTCCCCACCCTCCTTGGTTCCCCACTATGTAGGATGAGATAGAGGCATCTTATTTGGACATGAAAGAACAGAGTGAACCGTGTACCCAAAGATGCAGGGCCAGCCAGATGGCAGGCAAAGGTCATATTTGCTGCTCCATTTCCTCCTCATCAAAGCTCCATGTAGAAGTCATTATTAACTCCATTTGCTAGATGAGAAAGCTAAGGCCCGAGAGGAGACAGGTGCAGTGGAAGGACTTCCTCCTGCCTTTCCTGACACACAGTACTAACAACCCCTGGAATGGTCCAAGGATGCTTAAATTCAGTGGAGTGGGCATAAGGTGGCTGTCTGCCATGGCCCCTTCTGGCTGGTAATGGGAGGCTTGTGTTAGGACTCAGAAATCCCTTCATTATCAAAAGACTTGGTTTTCTGTGGTTTCCCTGCAGCTGAGAATCGTCTGTGTTAAGTTAGTTTGGTGTGGACACATGGCCCTGCCTCCCCAGGCTCTGGGCTGTTGCTGGCTTCCTGCTAATGGGCAGAAGACTCCTATCAGCCACTGGCAGAGGGCTCCCTGGGAGGCTTCTGGCCTTGTCCTCCCCACTGATAAACCACACGCTGTCCCTGGAGTTTCCTCTCACGAGTGTGTGGGAGATAATTCATCTTCACCCTGCATGTCTTGCCATGGCTTTTCCAAAAGGCGCACTTTGCTGCTGTGTAAGATGGGCTTGCTGGGGAATGAAGGTATGGTTTCTTATTTCCTCAGGCTTATTGTTGAAGATTTTTCCTTCTTTATTTACAGATGGGATATGAGAATGGTAGTATCATAAAGTGTCAAAGATGGAAGGGGCCTTCTAGTTCATTTAGTACAATGCTCTTATGTCTCAGACATGGGCTAGAGAGGAGAAAGGACTGGTCCAAAGAGACACATCCTGCTGGTGTTGAGGTCAGTACTGGAACCAGGTCTTGCTTTAAGTGAATATTCTTTCCACTTCACCCTGTGACAGTAGACCTATTAGTCTGCAGTTTGGTGAGCTATGGGAAAGGCAGACTTGCATTAAAGCAGGAGAAAGTTAGGAACACACAGCAGACCATTGGCATCTCACAGCACAAGCACATCATGCCAGGGAATAGTGGGGAGCCCTGGAGTCTGGTCCTTTCTCTGCACTTTAGGCAAGTCATCTCCAAATTGCTCACTTACAACCTTGGAGCTAAAATCAGCCAGTGGAAGGTGTAGGAGGGTCTTCAACGAAACTTCTCAGTCCTGATGGGGATTATTATTAGTATTTAAAAAAATCTGGTTGTAGAAACGTTGGGTTGTAAATTGAGATTGATGTGGCGTGAGTTTGTGTTCTGCTATTCACAGTCATGGCCAGCAACATAAAATCATAGATTATCAAACAGGAAGTGATCTATTCCATGGCTCCCAAAATTTTGGATTTCACAGACCAAAAAAAGTTCCCTGAAAATGAATATCCCCAGGTCCCAGGAGTGGGCAGCTTTTTTATTCTCCTATTGTGACCATTCCTTGGAAGGAAGTTTGGGCATTCCTATTTGCGCAGTGATACTGCCTCGGAAACCCAAGGAGGGGTCGCTATGAGTTGGGGCCGACTCAATGGCAAATAACAACAACTACAACAACATTGTGACCATTAAAACAGAACAACTATGGCAAACAGTAATCCAGGTGAACTCCCATCTATATCAACTTTATGTTACAAAATGATCTTTATGGTTGTGATCATGGTTTTGTTAAAGATTACCTTGACCTCTTGAAAAATTAAACCTCCTGTCTCACTTGGAGAAGGTGGGTTTAGATGGTGGCAAAACAGTAGGAGTAGGGAGGGAAATGAACATTTACTCAGTGCGTTTTGTTGTGTGCAAGGTTCCATGTGAATGCGTGATACATGTTTAACATAGATGTCTAACTCCAAAGCCTGTACTGTTTCTACTACAGGAACTGATAAACTCTGGTCCTTGGGCCAAATCCAGTCCTCCAACTCTTTGTCTAAATAAAGTTTTATTGAGACGCAGCCATGCCCATTCATTTACATATAGTCTATTGCAGTTTAGCATTACAGTGGTAGAGCTGCACAGTGTGATGGAGACCTCATGGCCCACAAAGCCGAAAATATTTGCTCTCTGGTTCTTTACAGAAAAAGTTTACTGATCTCTACATTATCCCCAGCTCCTTTTTACATTAATGTTACTGTCTGTCTACATAGGAATTCTGGCAGTCAAGGTAACATGTTAAATAATTAATTGTTGACCCCCCCCCCCACAAGAAACAAAAACAAAACTGAACTCACTGTCATTGGGTCAATTCCAATTCATAGTGACCCTGTAAGGGTAAAACTGCCTTTATAGAGTTCCCAAGGCTGTAAATCTTTGTGGAAGCAGATTGCCTCATCTTTCTCCCATGGAGCAGCTTGTGGGTTTGAACCACTCACTTTTTGATTAGCAGCTGAATGTTTTAACTACTGGACCATGAGAGCTCCTTAACTGTTGAAAAAGCTGTGATTATTAATTTTCCTTGAAATATCCAGAATGCTTATTTGTTTGGGGCCTTTTGCTGCTACTTTCTAAGTCTACCTGACAGAGAGCAGGAAAGGCACGGCCAAGGGTACCCTGAAGGAAAATTCCAAGTGTGTGATGGAGTTGGTATGAGGAGCTATGTCCAGTGACCTATGCACTCTTGTCCCTCTGATGTCTCTAATGGGGACTATCATGACCCACCCTTTCTCCTTTTATTTTTTCTTTGGAGCTGTTATACAGCTATGTTTGCTATTTAGGTTCTAAAGATTAGAGGGGTAAGATGGGGTTGATGTTCTTGAGTGGAAAGCATGGTGGATTAAAAATGAGGACATCTGGATTCTAGATTGGTTCTGTATGACCTTGGACATGAAACTTTCCTCTCTGGACCTGATTTTTCCTCCTTTCTGGTGGTGTGATGCCTAAGGCATTCATTTGACTGCAAGGCTGGTCGTTCAAACCTACCAGCCACTCCTCAGAAGGAAGGTTGGGCAATCTACTTCCATAGTGATATTGCCTTGGAAACCCAATGGAGGGTTGCTATGAGTCAGGTCCAACTCCATGGCAGTGAGTTAGAATTTGTTTTTGAGTTTGGTACAACGAAAACATTAATTGGATAATCTCAAAGTTTGCCTTCAATGTTAATTGAATTCTGCATTCCACCTCTCTGGGACTACTGGAGGCAATATATTCATTAGCAAGTTCAATGATTACAAATGTGGGGGTGAGGAGGAAGTCTGTTTTCACAAGTCTTCAACTTCATTGTGCATATTGGCTATTACCAGTTATTTGATGATTACATAAATGTACTAGTTTGGATTACTAGCCATGCCAAAAAATTTATGAATGAGACTTGACTGGCTTCTCTAATATGTATATGAGGTGGATATTATTATCCCCATTTCACAGATGAAACACTGAGGATCTAAGGTGAGAAGTAGGGCCAAGATATATACCCGTATTTGCCCAACTCTAGATTTCAAGCTCTTAAGACTATGCTACTTTGTGTTCCTGTGTCCCTGCAATATCTTATGTCTGAGGTAGAAGTTTGCATAAGTGGGTGTGACAAGTTCTGGTGGGAGACTGGTGGGGACAAGACTACTGCTCAGGGGCCACTCAGATGAATCTAAATACATCAGCTCATCCTTGAGCCTCTCACCTCCCATCCCTTTACTGTTGGGCACTGTCATAGTGTTTCTGGTCACTAATCAGGTACCACAACTTATGACATCACCTGTGTGATTCACTCCACATTTATTCCTAATTTCAAAATCTTACCTCCTTTAATGGATAAGTTGACAGGTGTGTTGGGAGTGGAGTCCTGGAAGCAAAAAAGAAAAAAAAAAGCAACATGAGATTAACATTCATTCAAACAATTCATCTTTTTCCCCTTGTTTTGGTTATCCTCAGTGCAATTTAGAATTCACCTTCAATCTGACTCTTAAGTCATAATTCACTGACTTAGTTTGTAAAAGGTTTTATTATCCATTTCCTTGACTATCTGCTTATCAGAAATTCAAGACAAAGATTATTGTTCACATTTCACAGGTGAGGAACTTGGGACTGAAAGAGGTAAAATGCCTGGCCCAGCACCACACGGTATGTTTATGGCAACTCAGGGACCAGAAGCTGGGATTCTTAACTCACAATCCATTGCCTTTTCCATATATATATATATATATATTTTTTTTTTCTCTGTAGTTAACATAAGAACAATAAAAAGTAGTGTACAAAGATATGTGTGGGTTTTTTTTTTTTTTTTTCACTTTTTATTCATCAAACTGTAAAAGTATGTGGTAAATATACCTGGGGAGGTACATCTGTATTTTTCCTGTGGTTGGAAATTGTTAATTAATTGAATGTTTATTTATACGCCAAACACTGTGTTTCTATATATATATAGTTTATGAATCATTATGATGATACTATAATTAATAAAATGTGAGTCAGAATCAACTTGATGGCAGTGAGTTTGGTTTGGTTGGTTTTTGCACTTTTAGATTTATTGCAAGTTTGTATTTTAATATAATACAAATAATATACACGTACATGATATATTTATATGTTATACAACATAAACCAAAACTCAAGCCCACTGCCATTGCATTAATTCCAACTCATAACAACCCTACAGGGTAGAGTAAAACTGCCGCGTGGAAGCAGTCTGCCACATCTTTCTCCTGTGGAGCAGCTGGTAAGTTTGAATTGCTGCAATCTGGTTAGCAGCTGAGTGTTCAACTATACTACCACAGCTCCTATTATAAAACATACTGTGTATTATTTATTATATAATAAGCACACACAAATATCTAACTACACAATTAAGTAAGGAGTTGGTAGAAACAGATTGTCTTCTGAAAGAAGGGCTCCCAGGTAGGGGATTGGAGGAGATTAGAAGAAGGTCCAGTTCTGAGCAAGGTGCTCTGAGCAAGTCAGAAGCAGAAGATTGGGGCACAGTTCTCCTCCCCTAATAAATTCTTCAATGGCCAACTTCCTGACCCCTCATTCCTCTCCCCTCTCCATCTCAGCCATGGAAACACTCCTCAGGTACCACCAATGCGGAATGAAGGAATGAAGTATCTTACTTGTCTTTTGACCTGCCCAGGTTAGGATAGTCTATAGTGCACTGAATTGAAATATCAATGAAAACCTAAAGAGGTATTTACTTGGACTAAACAGCTTTCCAACCAAAGCAGAAAGCAGCAGCTGCCCATATGCCATTTTCTTAGTTTCCTACATGAACAACTGGGACCATCTGGAGTTTCCTTTATTCTACTGTCTCCCTAGGAGCTCTGTCCTTTACCTTCCATTGAGGGCTTGTTTTCTGATACACACATCTCTTCTCCAGCCCAAGTGGGTGGTCATGAGGTAAGGAAGCCTACTGGTGGCAAAGCCCTAATGTAGCACTGCTCTGGAGACCTTGGGGAAGTCATTTAAACTTTTGGACCTGAACTTTTCAGGAGATGGGAGATGGACCTGACTTGTAAGTTTCTTCCTCCTAGTCTCTAATATTTTATGATTTTATTGCTGTAATTGAGAGTTACTTAACTGTGCTGTACCTTTGTGGTCTCAATTATGCACACAGTTCATAGGAAAACTTGACATCACAAAATTCCCCTTCATGTTGCCTCTATATGACAACAAACAGCATTTCATAATGTAATAAACAATTCACTGCCAATATGATCACTGCTTTTTCTGATATGTAAATGTTCAAAGAACAAATATCTACAACATCGTTGAATTCACCAGCTGCCCAGGGAAGTGCCCAGGGACAATGACAGCAAGCAAGATCAATGGCTAGGGAAGAAGAGGGTAGAGAGCTGTTACATTGTGCGAATTGCCAATCAATGTCATGAAAGAAAATGTGTATGGACTTGCTCTGTAAACTTTCACCCAAATCACACTAAAAAGTAAAAAAAGACCAGTGGAGCCATCCCACAGGCCAGTAGCTGTTGGGGAATTACCAGAGAATCACTCATTCTTTACACGTTGAATGAGCACTTGGTGTGTGCCAGGCATGACATTAGTTGTTGGAAGACAACTTGATGGATTTTATGGTTTAATGGGGAAGGTAGTCATTGACAAATACAAACAAATATATACAGTACTTCTTAAACTGAGGACCTTGCTAAAATGCAAATTCTGATTTAGTAGATTTGGATGGAGCCTGAGAGTCTATTTCTGACAAGGCCCCAGTGATCCTGATGATCCACGAACCATAATTTGAGTAACAAGGTTATAAGAAATACTATCAGGGAGGGGTAATGATTTATACTGCAGGTCAGGGAAAGTCTCTCCTTGTCATTTGAGTGATTCCTGGTTTTCTAACTTCAGACAGGTGGATGTCAAAAACAAAGCATCTTAGTAGGTGGGAAAGCATCTTGATACTTAAATCTTCATCAAGGGACATAGGGAATACAAGATAGAAGTGTGCTGTTCCTATTTTTGAAATGCTTTATGGGGTGAGGCCTCTACAGCTTTCCCTGGCTCCCCATTGTGGACAAGTGCTCTTTCCACTGCTCAGGAGAAATGCTTTCTTCAGAAGCTAAGGAGAGAAAAATTCATTCTATTTTGATAAGCAGATCTTGCATTTGGTGGTGGAGAAGCAAGATGTAAAGAGATGACTGTTAAAATTTACTGAAAACTGTTTATGCTCTAGGCACTAAGTTAAGTGCTGTCCACCAATTCCTGCTTGGAAATGATATCTCCCAGACCTAGACTTCCCTCCCAAATCTTGCCTGGGGATCTCAGTCTTGGTTAGGAAAATGCAAACCATCATGCTCAGCAACTTGTCTTTGAGTAAGGAAATACACAGTATAGACACCAAAACTGAAAACCCACTGCCATCCAGTCGATTCCAACTCATAGCAAACCCCCATAGTGTTTCCAAGGCTGTAAACCTTTATAAAAGCAGACTGCTTCATCTTTCTCCCATGGAGTAGTTGGCAGGTTCAAACTGCTGACCTGTTTTGGTTAGCAGCTGAATGCTTTAACCACTGCACTATCAGAGCTCCTTTAGGATAGACACACTCTGAAAAACCAAGTCACTGCCAGCAAGTCAATTCCAACTCATATGACCCTCGTTGGGTTCTCAAGGCCGTAAATCTTTATCGAAGTAGACTGCTCAATCTTTCTTTCTCAGAGCAGCTGGTGGATTTGAACCACCAACCTTTTGGTTAGTAGCCAAATGCCTTAACTACTACACCAACAGAGTTCCTTAGGCATAATAAGCAAATAGACCCTCTAAACTAGACATTCTTAGCTTCATTGTGTAGCTCAGGAAACCGCATCTCCATGGTTACTAACCAACTATACTTCCATCTGTTTATATATAAGTGTGCTTCCTCTTTTTTTAGACTTAGTGAGTGTCGATGGGTGTCCCCAACAATAAAAGAATCTTGCTGTGTATGACGGGAGGAATGGTTACATTTAACCTCTTCTTCTCCAGGTGAAACCACCTGAGCCCAATCATCTTGATGGTCTAGAATTGTTTCCTTCTCTCCTTTAATCACTGTGATTCTAGGGCTAATAATTCTTCCCTCCACTGGGTCTTTTTGTATATAAGATATTGTGTATAAAGTATTATCAAGGGCTTATAAATAAACGGTAGCTATTTTGGATACTACCTTGACCCTAATGATGTGCTTAATTTGTTCTAATATTTTATTGTTGTGTTGTTATGTGCTATCGAGTCGGACCTGACTCATAGCGACCCCTCCTTGGGTTTCTGAGGCAGTATCACTACAGAAGTAGATTGCCCCATCTTCCTTCTGAGGAGTGGCTGGTGGGTTTGAACTGCCAGCCTTCTGGTTAGCAGTAAAGTGCCTTAGGCACTATGCTACCAGAGCTCCTATTAGAACAAGTTAAATTTGTTAAATTATTACTAGCTCATTTTTTTTCACAGATGTGCAGGGGCAGTGAGTTCCCAATTTTCTTTTGCCAAAAGATGCACTCTTTGATTGGAAATTATCAAAGACAACTAATGTCTAGAATATGTCAGGAGAAATTCCATATCCTCTTCCTCTCTGGCCTCACTGTTGTCTTGAATTGTGGGTTCTGATTCATGGCCCATGGATGCTTTTGTCAGGAAGCCTCTTGTTTTTAAGTTATCATCTATTAAACACTTAATGAGAGTTACTGCTGGAGTTACATGCTTTATATTCATTCTCTCATTGGTCATTACCTTGACCCCAAGAGTCAAGAATTGACTAAGACTTAGAATAGTGATGTGGTTGAAGAATGTACCATAGGTGGTAAATGCCAAAGGCTTCAAAGTCAGGTGTGTTGACTTTGAAGGCAATGCTCTTAACTGTCATGCTACCCCACCTCTGTAGGATCAGGTGAGTATGCAATAGGACTTGCAACCTATTCATTCTGGTTCAATCCCCTACTGAGAATTTGCATGCCCATCCCAGATACACTGAATCAGAATCTACGTTTTAACATAACATTCTTATGTATAAGAATCACCTGGGGATGTTGTTAAAATGTAGATTCTGATTCAATATATCTGGGGTGGAGATGCAAATTCTCAGCAGGAGGTCAAGTCAGAATGAATTGGTTTGAAGTCCTACTGAAAACTCTCCTGAGAGTTTTCATGGGAAAGATGGTAATAGGTGAATGGACCTTATATAAAAGCCCCCGAGGAAATGCTATTTTCATTGGGAGCATCTGGTTTGGAATGGTCAGACAAAGTGGAAATTGGACCAATAGTTTAAAGCTTCTCACATTTTAAAGGGCATAACAATTAATTGGGGATCTTACATAGATGCAGATTCTGATTCAATAGATCTGTAATGAGGTGTTAGTTGTTGCCAG